GTCCTCCCCAACACACAGGAGCACACCCTGTGTCCTCCCCAACACACAGGAGTATACTACCCACAGTTCCACCTGGACGCCAGCCAAGTGTGTGCACCATAAATACAGTTTTCCACTTCTGTTTTCTCCATTATGTGTGTTCAAGTCCCAGTTCTGGTGTCAGCCTGAATTTCATCCTCGTCCTGGTGACTATACTATGCTCTTCTTATACTCCCTACACTCATCCTGTGAGCGATAGAACAAGAGGATGACATGGGGCATAAAAGATCTAAAAGAGACCTCATTGTATGTTTTGGCACTCCATAAAAAACCACACCCATCCGCATAACTCAGTGGACGTGCCTTCGCAAATTCATTCTGTTTTTTATGAATTTCTGTATTGCACTGATATTCGACAAGATGGAATGACTTTTGTCACATTTTGATGTGCAAATATTATGCAGTTTCAAATGTAACACTCATTATCATTCATCTTTGGACCATAGATCACTTTGATGAAGCGCTCTTGAGAATAGCAATGAATTCCGTTGCGGAAATAATCCTTTTTATTCTCAAGATTGAATGCAAAGTCAATCATTAGCGACTTCGGGTGTAGGAACAGCGGCAGCTGGTGTGTGTTTCAACAATAATTGTTTCGCATACCTGAGTTTACCCGACGGCCACAATCTCTCAAGTGGCCTCGACGAGAGGCTTGTCCAAGGTCCCCCTCATTAGTCCTGATGATTTTATCGACCGGAATTTTCAACTGCAGCAATGTTTCGACATTTACAGCTTCGGCGGGTAGGCAGTTCCACGAGTTTATAACCCGTTGGGTGAAATATCATCTGTTTTCTCTACATTGTCTCTTGTTGTGTGTGAAACTGTTGTTCCTTATTGGTGTTACTCCTGACATTTAAACAAAAAAGTGGTCTATATCAATATCATCCAAATTGTTCAATATTCTAATAGTTTCGATGAAATAAGCCCTGTCTTGTTCAAAGGCTACAAGAGCATACGCAACAACAGTGGTACAATATTAGTAGGTACAGCAATAAAAGTGTGTACTGCAATAAATTGCGTTCAGCAATAACAATAGGTACAGCCAATAACAATAGATAGGTACAACCATAACTGGCACAACGGTAGGTATTTTAACAGGGGGTAGATCAATAGCAGCGGATACAACATCAATGGCAGCATTAACAGCACCAACAGTAGACTTAACAGAACATCAGCAGTAATAAGTTACAACAACACCTAATGGAACAGCAGCAGCTTCAGACTTCCAAGTTTAATTTAGCCTGAGGTAAATGTTACAACTTCACTGGCAGAGTCACCACGGTTGGTCAGCCTTTTAACGCTGCCCGGCTCAAGACTCAAGACTTAACGCCGAACAAAAAAATTACTGTCATACAGAGCCTTAAGGGCTTCCATAGAAACAACTACTAAAAAGACCCCATTAATTACCAAGAGGTATATACACCCAGATGTCAGAGGTGTAGCCCGATTCATAGTGTATAATTCTATATATAAATATATATATACACACACACACACTGAGAACTTTGTTTAGTTTAGGGCTATATTCAATATTCATGTATTCTTACTGGTTTGGTCAGTATTGTGGAGGACTTGATAACCCTCCAGATGTTGATAGAAGTTGAACTCAACATCAAACCAAAACCTATGATTTGTGAGAGAACTGATATGGGTTGCTTCCTAGGGTAGGTCAGTTTCTGGCCAAGAGGGGGGACCTGGATAAGGCTTTCATGTCCTCGACACTGGGAACACTGTTTATAGAGGCGAATTACCGGAATTTATTAATTCGCCGTTTCCTCTCCACCGGAGGAAATGGCTGGAGGAAGATGGTTGTAGAAGCACACCAGCACTCCTTAAAAATGCCAACCTGCTAACCCAACCAGAAACCTACGAACCCAAGCAACCCATCTAATCTATCGAGGCCAATGCATGGAAAACGGACCGTTGATATTTGTTTGACGTTAATTTTTATTGTAGATTATTTCTGTAACGTTAGTTTCCAAAACGTAAAAAAACGCGACTTATTAACACAGCTCATCCTTAAAACATTGGTCATATGTTCGGTATTGCAGCAGCAGGAAACCCCCCCCCCTTATTTAAGAATATAAAATACCTTGCATAAGACTCACAACTGATTACGTTCAAATTTTTGTTGAACAGTAGTTTCTGCTCACTTTCTATGTTCGAAACAAACTTCTATAAATGCATAACACATTGTAAGTAAAAAAATATATAATTCAGCCCCACTCTCATAAACATTCACTGAATTTCCGTTAATTTAACATTCCTTTTCCCCATTTATAAGAAAAATATAAGAAATTATGCATGACTCACGGTTGATTACGTTCGAACTGTTCTCAAACAGCGTCTCACTCATTTCCTATATTCAAAGTGAACCTCCTGCTACCCCATCCTCATCAGCTATGGCCAAATGCTTGTTAATCCAGCCGCCAACCACCTGTTTATGAACGAAAAATGGTTTACACACTTCTCGCTACTGGTGACGTTTGAACATTTCTCGAACAGTGCTTCAGTGATGACCTATGTTCGAATTGCAATTCCGTAAATGCTTCAACCCTCACACTACAAATGCAAACAGAACCTAAACACCTAACCAACGCTAAAATATCAACAATATACTAACGTAATATTAATTAAATTATATTTGATAAAATTCCTATTGTGAATGAACAGCATGTTAAAGTTGATGAATGCGTCTTTGTGGATGGAATGAACATCCATTCAAGCATTTACCAACCTGTCCTAGCCCGAGGACATGTTGGTAAATGTTCGACACACACACACGCATGTACAAAGAAACACCAACACCAACTCTTAATCTAACAGAGAAAACTGTAATATATATAAATAGTTTATATTTAAGAAAGTACCGTTTCAGATCACACAGTACGGAAAAGTTGACTGTCGCAGCTTGGACAGAATAGCCTGTAAGGTAAGGTTATTTTTAGGAGAAAGCACTAAGCCATTACGACAGTATGGCACGAAAGGATAAGGATTAGGGATAAGACAGAGGAAAGGAATGGTGCCCAACTATTTGGACGGTCGGAGATTGAACGTCAACCTTCATGAAGAGACTGCCGCTCTACCGTCCAGTCCAAGGATTGGGATAACCCGTAGATTTTTTTTTTTAACACGCGTTGGATTGAATGATAGGAACGGGAGGAGGAAGGGGGATAGTGGCAGGAGGAGGCCATTATACAAGGGAGAGTATTTATGTCCGAGCACCAATGACATCACGGACTCATCATATCCGGAAAATCTTGATAACCGAACGTCTAATGTGTGTATACCGAGGCTTGTCATCAAATACGCACACTAAATAAAGGTGACCACCAAGAGACTGCGAACGATTACAATACTATAGTTTTACTGGTTAAGAAATAAAAGCCTTTTGATTGGCCCCAGATGCCCCCTGCATCTCTGACGAGTGTCCCATGGCACTAGCGAACATAATCAGGTCAGGTCATTAACAATTTACAAAACGTTTCGTTTGCAGATGATAATTTTAAGTTCGATGAGAAGGAATGTTACCATGCTGTTAGAAAGTTTCATTCAACACTAAACTTCTAGGAAAAGCTTGGTGATTGGTTTGAATATCTGTGACGTTTATTGAAATCTCACCAGATTAACGTACATATTATTTTGCATTGAACCGGCTTTCAGTATATTTACATGTATGAACTGAATGAAGCAAAGAGAAGAGTTGGAATAAGAATGGGTTAAATATCGTCTAATGTAATGTTTCTTTAATTCACTAAGTCTTAGCTTTAATCATCAAATTAAACAGAAGACACTCAACGAGTTAATATTCAAGGCAACTAGTTTCACCACACGAAAACTAATCATGTGAAATAAAATGAAAACAAAAAGTTAAAATGGGTGAATCACCACATGGTATATTTAACAGCCATGTGTTCACGCTGCCTGTAATAAAAATAGCTCGAACATTACATATTTACTCTGACGATATAAAGCAAGATTGAATTCAATAGGTATTAAATAACTGTAGTCATTTCAATGAACCAAGGGGAAGATACAAGATAACTAATCAATAAGCAATACCCGGAAATATGCATGGGCTAAATCAGTGAGCAGGCGACTTTTGTAACGGCTATGAAATAAAAACAATTTATCACTGTAAGAATTACGAAATACTTATACCAATCGGTACATCATACTACCAGACGACCATATACATCCACGAGTGAATTGAAGGAGATGGTAAAAGCCTAAATATCCCATGAAATGTCTAAATGACAATTGTTGTGTTTGTAGGCATCCAAAGACTGTGGAGGTTACTACTGAAGATGTATATAAACAAAGACACATCCAGAAAGAAACTCAATCTCCATACTTTTTTACACGTGAATATTTCTCTAAATTTAGACATGACGTTTGTCGTCTCGTGCAAAATACCAACCACAAGAACTTGACGGAGCTCTTGTTACGAGAGACGTCGCTTATACTGACAAGATTAGTAAACAAGAGTATTCCTTCACTGGTCTGTACATTCCAGGATTCAGATAGAAATGTACATAATAGCCGGTGAATACGTCCAGTAGAGTGCCATCAGATATCCCCCCATCGCAGACAAGTTACAGTAGCGCTTTACTAGCTTAAGGTGGCACTAACTCTTAGTGTCGGCGTTGTGCCTGGAGGATAGCAGAAGGGTATTTAGGGGCCACAGAGTTGTGGAGGTGGATTGGGCAGTGTAGGGAATGGTGCTGTGAGGAAGGGGGAGGCAGTGGAGGGGATGGATAAGGCATCAGAAGGGGTGAGGCTGGGGCACCGGACATTCTGGGTAGTGGTTGAGGGCGCGGACACGCGGGTTCCCTGGAGATGGCTCCCTCCTGCTATACCCCCTCCCCCCCCCCCCTCCCCACCTTTTCCCTGTGCACACGCACCCATTTTAGCGATTTCGAACGTGAGACGGAGCTGGGGCCGCGATTGGTGAGGGCACAGCGCCAGGTGGGCTATTTTTGCTACGTTATTTCGGTGTAGCGGAGGGTAGGTTGGTCGCAGAGCCTGACGCGCCGGCAGTGTGGTGACAGGTTGGCCGGCTCTCTCCTGCTCGCACTCTATCTCTGCCGGGACTGTGTAAGTTGTGCCTCAAGGCGTACTTCAATGGCATCCTGCTGAGGGACCTGCATCCCTGGCAACGCCCGCATACAAGCATTAACCGAAGCACACGAGAGGAAATTTACCTACAAGGAACAAGAAAACAAAAAATACACTTTGAAGATAATTCCGCCAAGAAATCACTAGGTCTGGGTAGAAAATGCGCAGAGAGCTCGAAAAGGCGATGCTTTCGGCGCATGTTGACCTGCCTAAGAAGTGGGCGGTTGTGTTGTGTCGGTGTCGTTAGTGCTCGAGAAATTAGGGGCACTAAATGCTTAACAAGCAAGTGAGGTGTGACTAGGAGAGTTTATGTCATGGTTGTGTTGTAGTGATTCTCCCTCCCTCTTACACCCGAAAATTCCCCGGCGAGCTTCTGAGGCAGCCATAGAGAAAGATGTCAAAGGATTTACACAATTCAACGTTACTGACTACTTAGATTATGATATTTACGTGGACCGCACTGGTGGGGGAAGAGGAGTGAGGCGAACAGTACCTGTGAGGAGAGGAAGGCGTCCAGTGTAGTGGTAGTGACGGCGATCAGCTCAGGGCACATCGCCAGCCAATGAGCTCTTTATCTAGTTCGCTATTCCCGCCTTATGCTTTAGAAGTGACCCTGTATGTAAATGTGCTTAATAAGTTATTATACAGTACTAATAATATATAAAATATATATAATATATATAATTTCAGGTTACAAATTAAGCAACCCCAAATCCAAGCTGTGAGCTATAATAGAAACGGTTACAGAGGCACATAATGGGCTCCGGAACTAAACGCCAATATTCGTATACTTAATCAAGTTGATAATCAAGTTACAAAGCTTGTTAACATGTATATATCAATATTATATTCACATACATTTGTATACCTCAAACCCATCCTCCAACCAAAGTTATAAGTCAAATAGAGTGCTACGAAAATCTCAAGTTAATATTTGAATTATACAGCTGGCAACCAGCTGACAAGACTAATCTTTCAATGGGTGTAATAACACACGGCATTTTCTCAAATATAAATCAATATATTTATATTGTTTGGCTTTAGGCATAGTTAAGCCTAGGTAAGGTTCTTTGGTTACGTTGATTTAGAGAGAGAGTTAGCAAGCCAGGGTAAAAGTGAACGAAACATGTTTCGAATCTTAGCTTCAAACATGGTCAAATAGACCAAAAGATAAATGCTGAATTATGTAGAGTTAAATGAGTCAGTATTTAACGTTTACGTTGTGAACTCGACTGTCCTTTGGACGATGCGTCCTGCAGTAGAGTTAGGTTCGTTCTCGTCTCACAGTCCGGGTTCCCGGGTTTGATTCTGGGGTGGATGAGAAATGGCTGGGCTCATTTATCTCACCTAATACTTCTATTCATCTAGCATTAAATACGTACCCGGGAGTAAGGCAACTGTTGTGGGCTTGCATCCTGGAGGAGGTCAGTAGTTCGACCCAGCGGGGACTTCAATACAAGCCATATTTATATTCATATACATATATAGACAGGTTTTCTGTCCACGACAAAGCAAGTTATAAAACTGAGAACGAAGCATTGGATACCCGATCTCCGTTTTCTATATTTGGCCTGGGTGCTGGTGACGTCACAGAGGGCGCATGCGCTGCGGTGCACCATGAAATGAACACCAACCCCAGCTATTCTTGGTGAAGGCTGGAGCGAGTGCCGCCCCGCCCGGCACCTCCCGGAACCCCACACGTACCGATGCTGCTTCACCTTCATGAAGTTCTTCAGAGAAACTGATAGACCTTTACCGGATTCGAGTCCCTCGGCAGGATAAAAATATTTAGGCACGTTTCCTTTCACCTGATGCTTTTGTTGACCTAGCAGCAAATAGGTACACGGTAGTTAGGCAGCTGTTGTGGGGTTGCCTCCTGGGAATGGTCAGTAGTTGGCCTAGTGGGACCTCGATAAGCTTTACAGGATTCCTGTCATTGACACAAAATAAAGGAACGCAATTTGAAGCAGCACAGGAATGATAATCAGTCACGTTATGGCCGGGAATGGATGGGTGATCGCGCCGATAGCTTCGGCTAACAGGGGCAATCAATGAATCTTACAGGCTGCCTGTCCTCTACAATATAATACCACACAAATCCAAGGACAATAAATTAAATCAACCGGATATTTATTAGGTCATAATTGTTTTGCATTATCTATCTTTCTATCTATCTCCTAGTTCCGGGTTTTATTTCCATGGTTGTAAAGCAAACCATCCTCTCAAAATAATCGCTCCTATACCCAGTGGGTAATATATCTAAGAGACACACTAATTCAGTTTTGAATCAATGTTATAAACGCTAATTCAACATTAATTTAGCGTGGAATAAACATCAATTCAACGTCAAATCACCGTTGAATTAACGTTGCTCATGGATATTCCACCCATTGGATAACGACGGTGGATGTAATGTCCAAATATGGACAGTTGGACCCAAGATAATTCCACCGTTTTCTTTTATAGATTTTGCAGTCAGCTCGAGAGGGAAGGCAATAGCTAAAGCTAAGCTTTCTAAGACCTAGTGTAGTATATATATATATCTTACTTTACTATATATTTTAGTCTACTTAGTAGACTAAAATATTGTAGTCTACTAAGTCTTTAGTACGTTTTTATTTCTGGAGGATAGATTGTTGTCAGAGATTTTGCAATAATATGTAAACAATAGACTTATTTGAGTCTGTAATTATTGTATTTGAGGTTATTTCAAACAGTCAATTTTTTTATGTCGCTTCATTGACTGGGAACAAATTCGGATGACATAGATATTAAGTTCATTAAGTCACTTTTTATTTCCTGATAAACTATGCTTAGCTTTTATTAAGCCAACGATTAAATGGAAATTCTCTATACCATTTACAAACTGTGAAAATACGGACAATGAGGCTTATCTATTTATGGATTGGGGCCATGTTTGGTTTCTAGCCAATCGGTCATATGATTTGCTGTAACACTAATTACAAAAAAGTTATTCCTGTAACTTTACGTCACACCAATTGCTGAATAGCCAATCACATGCACGCTTAACATATCTGGAGATGAAACAGCTAGTCAGAGCTAGGTTTGATTGAAGGACATTAGTATTAGTATTATTATCAAGTAATGGTAATGTTTTCTTCCAGACATAATAAGATAGGATAAAAACTTATGTAATATGTGAAATTTATGTAACGATTTACACCAAGTCTTTCGCATTCTCCTGACTGCTTTGTCAAAGTCTGAGTGTGTGATTAGGACTAGACTTACATCTCAACGATTAGTCGCTAAGATATAAGTCTTGTCCTCACCACACACACACACAGACTTTGACAAAGCACTCATGAGAGTGCTAAAGTCTTGATGTAAATCGTTACATAAATTTCACATATTACGTAGGTGGGTTTTTATTCTATAATATTATTATTATTATTGTTATTATTATTATTAACTGTAGACCCCCGTTGGATCCCTTACTCATTCTATAGATGATTGTGGCAATGTTACAGTGGCACATATTGTGTTTACTGTTCATTTCCTAGCCCACAATGTTCTTTTAGCTGAACAAATTACAAGAATAATGATAATTTATAACAGATAAATTTAGGACAATTGGCTGATATTTTCATTAATGCGTCAGTATGGATGAAACGCTTGGTTTGTTTCATAAAATCTTAAACTAGATATGTGGCTAGAGCAACATTCTAGCACCTTTCAGGGTTGGTGTTCGATCCCCAATTGCCCAAGAGGTTGGGCACCGTTCCTCCTCTTCGTCCAACTATCCCAGCTCCTAATTCGTCCCTCTGTAGTCTTCAAGAGCTATAGTCCTACTGGCTTAGCGGTTTCTCCTGATAACTACATTACCTCTTTCAACAATATTTACACCTGTAACGTGTATGTAACCATGAATTAGGTACCAGTATTAGACCGAATGCACAGATTCTAACTTTAAAACTAACCTAAGAAAAATAGCTAAAGTATAATAATTTATTAAACACAACAAAACGTATCCACATAATTGTAATATGTAGAATTATCTAATTTGTTTTAGTTTTGGATTATACGGTATTCACGACTAAAGTATTCGTGCTGGTTGGACAGTATGGAATTGTGGTGGCCTTAATAACCCTCCTGAGGTTGATTAAGCCAAACACCGAAGCTAATAGGCCATATAAAATTAAACTACGCTTTAACTATTCCTAGGGACTAATTAACTCTCTTTTTTAATACGTATTTGATGACCTGGTTCCATGGAGTAGCGGACCATTTCGTAAAGTCTCTTGTAATTTTCTGCAAACAACAATAATATACTTTGAGGTCTGTTGTTGTGCTTTTCATTTAGAAACTGTTGTTGTGTTTCTTATTTAGGTGTTGTTATTATGTTTCTCATTCGTGGGCTGTTGTTGTGTTTCTTATCTAGGGGCTGTTGTTGTGTTTCTCTTTTAGTGGTTGTTGTTGTATTTCTCATTTAGGGGCTGTTTTGTGTTTCTTATTTAGAGGCTGTTGTTGTGCTTCTCATTTAGTGGCTTTTGTTGTTGTGTTTCTCCTTTAGGGGTTGTTGTTGTTTTTCTCATTTAGGGGCTGTTGTTGTGTTTCTCATTTAGGGGCTGTTGTTGTGTTTCTCATTTAGGGGCTGTTGTTGTGTTTCTCATTTAGGGGTTGTTGTTGTTTTTCTCATTTAGGGGCTGTTGTTGTGTTTCTCATTTAGGGGCTGTTGTTGTGTTTCTCATTTAGGGGCTGTTGTTGTGTTTCTCATTTAGGGGCTGTTGTTGTGTTTCTCATTTAGGGGCTGTTGTTGTGTTTCTTATTTAAGGGCAATTTGTTTTTGAATATTACATATTTAATATGGGGACTGTTGCTGTGTTTCTCACTTTCGGGCTGTGGTTACTTTTTCATTTAGGAGTTGTTTTGTTTCTCATCTATGAGCTGATTTGTTTCGCATTTTGGGGCTGTTGTTGTGTTTTTCATTTAGGAACTGAAGATGTATTTATCATTTAGGGAATTCAGTTGTTTGTTATTTATTCCTATTCATCTGTAGCTTAATATATGCATCAAATATTTGATTTTCCTATTCGTTTGAATAGGAAAATTCAAAGGTCACAAAAAGGCAAGTAATTATCACAATTGAAAAAAAATAATGAAAACCACTTCTAGAAAAAAGTGGAAATAGTTCCAAAATGAAAATAAAATACAAAAAAATGGAAGAAATTTAGGTTCACGTGACCCTATGACTTAATTTAAATACAAAAGTTAATTTGTATTCGATTGAAAATGATACAATTTGGAGATCAGTAAACATAAAAGGAACTGTAACTTGTTTAAAACAATTAACTTAAGCAATTCATTATCATTAATACATCATCAAAATCATATGTTACTGATATCTTTTTGTTTAGATAGATTGCTGAGCTAAGAGGCATGGGTGATTCTGTCCGTTTACAATGCAAGAATTCATGTATTTCGCAGCAGTCGGGAAAGCATTAAATAAGTGGTCATGTTGATTGATTTACAAGAGTATACAAACTTTGTGCTTAATGACTGAAGTTATTGAGTGGTGTTTTGACGATTTGATTTCCTTTTCAATTCTTAGGACTGTTTTAAGAAATACATGTATGTGGGAAGGAGGAGGGAGAAACATGTGCACACACACACACACATACACACCACACACACACACACACACACACACACACACACACACACACACACACACACACACACACACACACACACACACACACACACACACACACACACAACAACAACAACAAGCTGGCTAACATCAGAACGGCGTTCAGGAACCTGTGTAAGGAATCATTCAGAATCTTGTACACCACATATGTAAGACCAATCCTGGAGTATGCGGCCCCAGCATGGAGCCCGTACCTTGTCAAGCACAAGACGAAGCTGGAAAAAGTCCAAAGGTATGCTACTAGACTAGTCCCAGAACTAAGAGGCATGAGTTATGAGGAAAGGCTGCGGGAAATGCACCTCACGACACTGGAAGAAAGAAGAGTAAGGGGGGACATGATCACAACCTACAAAATCCTCAGGGGAATCGACCGGGTAAACAAGGATGAACTTTTCAACACTGGTGGGACGCGAACAAGGGGACACAGGTGGAAGCTGAGTACCCAAATGAGCCACAGAGACGTTAGAAAGAACTTTTTCAGTGTCAGAGTAGTTAGCAAATGGAATGCATTAGGAAGTGATGTGGTGGAGGCTGACTCCATTCACAGTTTCAAATGTAGATATGATAGAGCCCAATAGGCTCAGGAATCTGTACACCAGTTGATTGACGGTTGAGAGGCGGGACCAAAGAGCCAGAGCTCAACCCCCGCAAGCACAATTAGGTGAGTACAATTAGGTGAGTACACACACACACACACACACACATTTGGCAGGGAACGGAACGAGGAGATAAATAGGAGAAAGAAGAAAGAAGTCATGGGAGAGATAAGAACGAGGGGAAAACATAAAAGATGATCACAGATAACGAAGCACAAACAGGAAAAATTACACGACTCATAAACATGCAAGAAATGTTTAAACAATCAAAACTCGAAACAGTGCAAGAAGTAATGCAACAGAAACCAGTGCCTAACATGTTTCACTCTTGTATTTCAGATATAACACACCACCACCATGTCCGACGACGAATCAGCATATTCGTAAGTACATGTTTTTTTAATCAGTTTTTTATAAGTATACTCCGTTATCAGACTTCACTGGTTCATTCTCATATTTTTTCAGAAGTATACTTCAGGACTTCCCTGGAGTATATTCAAATACATAACTCTACTGAAGCATACACCATTTCAAGCCTTCCTTAAAGTATAATTCATTATTAGACTTCCGTGAAGTATAATACATTCTTAGATTTCTCTGAAGCAAAATTCCAATCTCAGACTTCCTTGGATTATATATCATAAGTATACACCGATCTCGGATGTGACTGAAGTATACATTATCTACTTGTATCTACATTATACATTATGGATTCATTATATATTCATTCTCTATCATCTAACACATGTATCATATATCTAATAAAATCTATTTTCAATCTAGCGGAATCTATTCTCAATCTAATAGGATCTATCGTCTATCTAATATATATCATTCATTTAACAAGATCTTTATATATAATGAAAATTTTTAAAAGTTAATGGGAAATGAAGATGTAAAATATTTAATCATTTTGGCTGTATATCACATATTTTCAACAACTTCATTCATTGTTTTATTTATGTATCAAAATAATCCAATTTTGTATTCAATTCCTCGTAAGCCGCTTGATCCACCATTCATATATAATTTTTTTATCTAATAACACGGCATTTGATAAAAAACTAAATATATTAAATAATATTATCAATTCTGTTTATTGTGTTTGTCATTAATATCATTATTATTTAAAACTATTATTATTTAATTATTTAAATAATATGATAATAATAATTTTCAAAAATATAATTATCTTGAAACAATAACAGTACAAAGTTTGATATTTATTATTATTACCCTTTACAATCGTTGCAATATAAATATTATTTTGTTGAATTAATATTCATAATGAATATTATTATAACATAATATAAAATTTTATTTTTAAAATTAGTTTCTATAATTAAGTTTATAATTAGTTTATAAGTATAATTATAAAACTAATTTATAATTAGTTTCTTATGTTTTTATAATTTGCATTATTCTTATAAAACAGTTTTTCCTATTTATTATTATCACCGATTTGACATTACAATAAACGATCAATATTTTTTGTCTTGAGTTCCAATAATCTGAATTAAAATTTTGGTTATCGGTTAACGAAACTAACATGGTCAACAGATTCACTTTTTATCAATATTTCTCTGAATTCTAAACACGTTTAACGAACTCTTTCTTTTCGTTCACAGGGATGCCGAGTAAGTAGAGCAGAGATTATGTCTTCCTGACTTGTAAACCTCTGGTACCCAGACGACTTGTAAGGACTTGTGCCAGGTCCCCTCTTTCTTTTCTCCTCCTCCTCCTCCTTCACACCCTCCATCTCCTTCTCTTGGCTACAGACCCTTTGGGAGGTTCTTGGTACTGTGTCGGATTTATGTGTTTCTTGTGTACACACACACACACACACACACACACACACACACACACACACACACACACACACACACACACACACACACACACACACACACACACACACACACACACGGAGGCGGGACCAGACCAAAGAGCCAGAGCTCAACCCCCGTAAGCACAACTAGGTGAGTACACACATACATACTTTATATATATATATATATATATATATATATATATATATATATATATATATATATATTATATATGTATATAAAATGTGAATTTTGAATTGCTTATCTTTGATTTTCTGACTCTGAGTTCTTGTTGACAATATCTCTATATATTTTCTGTCTTTCTCTTTGTCACTTTTCTTCCATTTCTCTTCTCTCTCTTTCTTCATTATTCACTCCACAAAACAAAACCCATTTACCGATTTAGAGTTAAAAGTACCTTCCCAAAGGGGGCTTAGCCATGTGTTTTCAACTTGTTCAGGTCACACTGATAATGACCCAAGGCCTCAATTGTTAAAAAAAAAATCAAGTATATCACAGGGACTTGAAGAGCAAACGCCAGAAGGCTACATCAGTTATTTAATCAATTTTTAGTTATGAGGTTTAAAGAAAACGGGTGGATTGTTTTGATGATGCTTATAGTAGTATTTATTTTTATTTTGAGGAGGGATTTTGAAACGAGGAACACAAACCAGTGTTCCTCTGGATTAAACATCCTCAGTACCTTTCGGTTTATTTCTCACCGAGAGAATTCATTGAAAGTGTCACAAGGATTTTTAACAATTCTAGAATTAAGTCTTCAACGCTACGATAGTAATTTTCACAAGTGAGAACTCTCTCTCAGATAGATCCCTGAGGTATACTCTTCAATTCCAAATAATTGCACAGTTTCAAAGCTCTCAGTTGATGTAGCGTCCATGTTTTGAGCATCTCCTTAAAGCACAGGACAGAGTGCTACATAGGCCATGGAGTCATTTTCCTATGATCAAGTTTCCCTTATATGACATCCCTCATTATTATTTGAATCCCTCTGGCTGCCCAAGTGTCTATTTTTCGTATGTTTATGTCACCCTGTCTACTAGGTGTCGACATGACTATTGTGTCGGTGTTTTGATCCACCCTTGCATGGGTTGCTCCCCTCCCCTCCCTCCCCTCCAAGCTATTTACCGTCGCCCATTTTGGTCCAAGTGAAGACAAATCTTCCCTCCCGAAGACGACAAGTACACCATTCAAGGAAGGCTCTTTTTTCTTAATCAGCGGCGGGACTTAATTTATGAAATAAAACCAAAGCGTGCGCGGTAATAAACAAAGATATAATATAACAAAGACTAATGAAAAGAGTTATCAGTAGTGTCCTAAGAGTACACTTAAGAGGTCGTGAAGACCCTCCCAAGAGCGGTTATTTCCCCATCCCCAGATGGTCTTTGAGGCAAAATCTTGTTCAAATTGCAAACTTTACAGAGCAAGTGAGGGGGAAGAAGGCGGTAATGAGGAGGAACATCAGCAAGCGCGAGATGAGGCAAAAGAGAAATTAAAGGAAGATGCCGATGAAGAGGAGTAAGTCAAGATTTAGATCACTTATCAACGATATTTTGTATTGGTTGCGATCTTGCTCTTATTTTCGACTTCTTTTATTTCGTTATTATATTTCTTTTGTTTCTCTCTTTCTCAAAAGCTTCCAGCTAGACCAAGTCTTCTCAGAACATTTAGTATATATCGCAAGTTCATTTTCATTTGTTTTATTTTTCTTATTAATGGACATTAATGCCACTTATATACTTTTTTCCACTTCCGGTATAGCTAAAAGCTATTACACTCTGATCAATGAACACTTTACTTGCTGGCCTCAAAACACTATTCTAGACAAAATTCAAAAGTCAGAATTGAGGTAGAATGGAAGACATCGTTTCTGGGTCAACATGCTCACTCTCGTATCCCCATCCGCAGCTGTGGATTAACTTGCATTTGGACGATGTTTATGAGAACGGTCTGCTGCATTCCCCAGATCTCGTGTTCGAATTCTCAAAGCCCGAGTTCGGAACCCCAGAACCCGAGTCAAGATCCCTAGATTTCCGAATTTGAATTCCCAAGACCCCGAATTCGTATTTCCAGAACCGTAGTTCGAATCCGATAAGTAAACATAAACCAGATTTCAGCTAATGTTTATTGTATCATTCCAAGAATGAACGAAAAAAACGATATACTCGCATCTGGGGATTGAAAACGTTTGTTTTCAATATTTGTGCTACTGACAATTGTCAAGGTCAAACACTCTCAAATGGGTATATACACAAAGAGGTGTCGTCTTCCTCTCTGTGTATGAACCCGGAGGGTTTACTCTTGTACTGTATTGTGTTCAGGGCTAAAGTATACTTGCTGTATACTGATCAAGTATTGGTCAGTGAGTGTGTTGGCCTTAATAACTCATCCGCGATTGATAGGCCTTAGACCTAACAGTAAACCAGCGACGTTTTATTATATTCTGCAAGTGGAATAGTGATCTGAAGACGCTTAAACCTCCTACAAAGATCTGAAAAATAAAGTGACACCGTCGCAGCGAAAGCATTGCTTAGTTTGAGCCATCTTACAACTTCTTTGTCTAATACAAACGATTAAGCAACACATACGTTATGCCTTAAATTAACAATATATATATTAAAGCTCTCAAAACTATATAAACTGATATATTTACAATAATACCACGCGAACAAGGAGGTTCTAATATCAGAGATGGACTCTTTCCCGTGCTTGGTTAATGTGACACAATCCTGCGCTGCCAGATTCAATGTTTCAGCTAGTGGAAGACCTCGTATTCTCTCCAGCTGTCTCCTAGCTCTTTCTCTGACTCTTATAGACTATTCTTCCTGAATACGAAACACAGTCTGTACTATTTGCTTTTGGTCACAGACAAGCAACTGGAGTATATATAAATTAAGTATTCATTAGTTCTAAAGCGTATTGTAGCTTTATTAGTAAAGTGGCTCGTGGAGAGAAAGGTGGTACTTGTAGTCAAGATAAATATATATATATAGCTCCTTCAGCAATTTAAAAGCACATTTGTCGTTTACTTTGGCCAGGAAAGACGTACTCCTGACATGGCAGGACGATGAACGAGCTAGTGTCCTTCCTGTAAAACGAAACCACACATCCTGATTCTCATTGTTTTGCTTTTCTTCCCCTTAACCCTCACTGCTGCATTCACTCGTGTATATAAATAATATATATATATATATATATATATATATATATATATATATATATATATATATATATATATATATATATATATATATATATATATATATATATAATGTTTTTGCGTATACTTCTTACGTATTTCTTTACCTATGTGTGTGTTTGTTGATATGTTTGTCTCTACTCACTCATGAAGCTCGTACTAGCAATACTTCTGTAGTTTGTGAGGCATATATATATACAACTTTAGTTTGTCACTTTTCTGTGGCACTAAGGCATATATATATAGCTTTGGTTTGTCACTATTTGTTAGCATCCTGGGCCACCAAAGTAAGTTATCCGCTGTTTCTTATCTTCCTCTTCGTTACCTTCCCCATGTGTTTATCCCACCTTGTTGAACACCTTTCCTCTCCATCTCTCCGTCGACTCCTTGTAGTGCTGATCTGAAGGCCAGAACCTTTTATCATTGGTGCTGACTTTAACCTGTGACTTAAGAGAACTCCTCGCTCATACACTTCCTTATTTCTCTTTCTCTCTCTCTCTCCCTCCCCTCTCCCTACCACCTTCCCCTTTTTTTCACTCCCCACTTTCCCTCTCTCCCCGCTCTACCACCTCCCCCCTTTTTTACCCTCAGGTTGCTTCTGCGCCAAAAGTATGTAGCTTTAACATTACTGTTGGTAGTTTTACGACAGCCTTTTTAAGAATCCATTATATACGAATAGCTTGCTCTTAGGTCTTAGTAGAATCATAACATAGTTGTATTCTATATGTAGCCCTTTCATTTATTTTTTTTGCTGTTATTTTTTTTTTGAGTCAAATATCTATTTTTTTGGTGGCTACATTCACTGAGTAGATAGAGACTAACTTGGTGTTGTTCACTTCTCTTTGCAGAAAGTACGTATAAGATCTCCACTCAAGCTCCCTAGACTCAACTCTGTTGATTGGTCCCTTCACGTGATATATCTGAACCAATCTCCCGCTGATGGAATAACCCCTATTCAGCATGTTGAGAAATGTCTCCCCATTAAACCCTCCCTTCTCCCTGATTTAACTGAAAATGTGCCGATAATTTTTGTTGTTGGTTGTAAACAAACAAAATTTGGGTGTTTACTTAATAAAATAGTTTTCTTATTATTGTGGCTGAGCTTACGACACACACTTGCCGTAGTTCACACTCAACCATCTATCATCCATCAACCGTGGGTCCTACCTCCCTACCTAATAACTACCAACCAACACCCCACAATTCGCCACACACACCAACGCCTAGCTTATCTACCACCCAAACAAACTTCAACCCCAATCACCTCCACTGCCAGTCTTCCAACTTAACAAATGCACAAAACTACCACTATCATCATTACCATCTTCTCAATCACTACCACCACCACTATCATCACAACACCCATCATCACCCCTACCTTCACTATCATCACTATCATCACCACCATAATCACCCTCACCTCATCCTTATACAAATTCTGGCATTACCTCTATAACAACCATTCTTAAGTAGAAGAATTAGACGATTAGAAAATTCATTAATGTTCTTCAGAAACTAGATATTTTTAGTAGGCCTACCTTGTGTCGTAGGCTCAGTCCTTCTCGAAAGCCTGAAAACAAGTCTTTGTCTTAATTATGTCTTTTTTGTGTTAATCCCTTGCTGAACACACTAAGTTCTGGCACTTTTTTCTATGTGGTCATTTGTAAACGTTTTTAACTCTACAGCAACGCCAACTCAGCCATTTTTCTGTCAATTGTTTGTCACTTTGATAATTTTGAGTATATTGTTGTCAAAATTGCATCTAAAAACATAACAAAATCACCTCATTTTATCAGCGGTAAAGGTTGGTATTGATATGATTTTTAATTTTGAACTAAGTTTTTATTTTTTTATTTTGCTAACCATTTTTATTCCCAGATAACATTGAGATGAACACTGTCGACGGATCCTCTCGATAAACATTGATAATGAATATTCATGACGAGCTGCTCTCCTATATACGATTATTTTTGTAAACTGAGGAGAGTTCTCAGCTATACTTGAGTAATCCAATATACACGAACGTATATACAAGTACTCCCTTAAATACAACATAAAAACGCATATATACAACCTCCCCCTCAAATCTCGGCAACAAATTCCCCAATAATCCCAAAGAAAATATTTTACCATCATGTTTGTATTTTACTTAGAGCTTAATACTATTCCCATTCTTAAGTACTTCAATCATAGCTTCCCAACATCTACTAATAGATCCATTGTAAAACCCTTAATACGTATTTTATATTCCCCAAGTGGTCCATTATGAATCCTCCTGGTTCCCAATAAAGATCACTACTCAACCCCCCCAATCTCCATCTCCGACCGTCTCCAACAAAACATGTAATTACAAACATCATGACACTCAAAACAAGAACAAGAGCATTTTTAAATGATAAATATTTACTAATTCCTGTTTTTCTCTTCTCTCTTCCTCTCCACTACGTGATGCTGATCGCTACAGGAGGAGGAAGAAGTAAGTCAATGATGTTTTTTTTGCACCTTGATTTTAGTTAGGGTATATACGTGAAACATATACATTATAGCTTTCGTTAAAATGCATCTAGATGACAAAACTGCTCCTCACACATAACATAAATTTCCGAGCCTTGGCACTTATATTTTGGATGGCTCTGCGCAGGGGAGATGAGGGGGCCAACTTCCTCAAGAGCCGTCAGCAGATAAAGATGTCCGAGCTGGACGAACAACTGGCCGAGTACATCGCTGAGTGGCGGAAGCAACGTTCAAAGGAGGAGGATGAACTTAAGAAGCTTAAGGAGAAGCAGGCTAAGAGGAAGGTGTGTATGTCTGTCTCTCGTCTTGTCTGTTTCTCGTCTTGTCTGTCATTCGTCTTGTCTGTCTCGCGACCAGTCTGTCTCGTCCTATCTGTCTCTCATCTTGTCTATTTCTAGTCTTGTTTGTCTCTAGTGTCTGTATCTCTGTACCTGTGTTACTGTGTCTATCTGTATGATTCTGTACCTATGTGTCTGTATCTGTTTGTGTGTTTCACTATATGTATGGTATGTATCCATGATTGGTATGTGTATTGTATGAATACGTTCCATTACTTATACATACATAGTACGTGTTAACGTTCGTTTAACCCTCTGTAGTGAGTGTTCGTTCCTTTACCTTCTCCCTGCAACATAACAGAACAGTGTGTCTATATGTTCAGATCCTCCGGGCTGAAGAAGAGAAGAAGCTGACGGAACAGAAGAGGGCCGAGGAGGACCGTAAGATGCGAGAGGAAGGGGAGAGGAAGCAACGCGAGCAGGAAGAGAAGAGGAAGCGTCTTGAAGAGGCCGAAAAGAAGAGGCAGTCTATGATGAAGGGCTCCAGTGTGAGTATTGTGGGGGTTGTTTCTGAGATGGGGGATATTATATTGTTTTTCCCACATTCCCATACTTCTTCACTACGATTCCTCCCTCACTTTCCCCCTTCCCACCCCCACACACAAACACTTGCACACATACGCTTTACGAAGGCGTAAACATATTAAAAAAAACCGCTCAGAACTTATGCATCAGACAATGGAGTACCAAATTATATTATTTAGCCATTTGATCTTACCTATTATGTCTGCCTCACAGAACTAGAACCACACGAACTCACATTTACTGGATGCCCTCGCCGGCTTGCTGTCATCTGTGCACATCTAATAAGCATGTACTTCAATAACTAAAGGGTTCCTGTTCAGCACAGCGAGGAAAAATAACAACTGTATCGACAATCAGCGACAGCACACCATCCCGGTGAAGGCTCTAAATCCCACCACTTCCTCCCACTTAATCAATACCCCCTGCCCACCCACCCCTCCTCTGACCCCATATAATTAGTAATCAGTATTTGTTCACAGTGTACAAGATCTTGTTGCCGTGACTCCAAGCTGATGTCACTTGTATAACGTGTTATTATGAATTAAGTCCCGAATAAGGTCAAATTATGAACTAATAAAAATAGGTACAGGAAAATATATGAGGCAAACTATTTTTGAATCAGGAGATGGATCCACTACTCTTCTGTACTACCTTCCTTAGAAAGGTTCAAACTCGGTCTAGTTTATGTTGTTAGGGTAATTCCCCGAGTGTCGTATATTTTCTTCTGCTAGACGAAGGGTACCCTCATTAATACAACCAGAGATTGTAATTCCGAGTTCTAACAGAAGGGTCAAACTTTCACTGTTATGGAGCAACGCCAGTTATTTGGAATCACATTGTTGAAAGACTGGAATAATGATTCAGGGAACTGCACGTTAAAATGTGACAATATATACGTCACTCACAGCCTATTTTTGTTTTCTACAAAGTATAGGAAGCTAAACGATGATAAAATCAATTTTCCAATTGTCATTAAAAAGTTCTTCTTATGGTTAATATTGATAGCTTTTATTTAATTTGTTGCATTTCCTGTTACTTGATAAACCCGAGTTGACACATTCAAAGATAGGAAACATTTCGTAATGTAGGAATTCTCGAGAGGCCAAATCTCGATCTTCCTCCACACGAAATATTCACTTTCACAACAACAGCCTTCGAAACACGAGATATTAACACTTAATAATTTTATTTTGAATAGCCCAGCCCACACACACATGAAATTAAATGAAAACGAAGACGTTTCCTCGACTCTAATCGAGTATTGTGATCTGTTCTCTGCAGTCATCTTTTTCTTTCCTCTACACCGGGTTCCACATTTTACACAGATGTACACATATTTGCTTACTTTTGTGGATCCTAGGCAACAAAACCGGAAGGGTTGGTAATATTTTCCATCATCTAAGGTTTAAGTCATGTCATCCGGTGCTCGACTTATGTCACCCACTGCTTGTGTCATTTCACAGATTACTTAAGTCATGTTATCTGCTGTTTTAATCACGTCACCCGCTGCTTTTTAGTCATGTCATCCGTTGCTAGAGTTATGTCATCCTCTGATTGAGTCATGTCACCCGCTAGTTGAATCATGTTTCCACTGCTAGTCATGTCACCCACTGTTTTTGTCACGTCACTCGCTGATTTAGTTATGTCACCCATTGCTTGAGTCATGTCACATCTTTTTTCCAAGGTGAATTTTATAAAATAGTTATGTGACAAAGATTATATGTTATAGTGTAATAGAAAGTAGATTTGTGTAGTGTCACAAAGAATAATAGTACATTACAACCTCCCCCAATGCCTATATTTATAGTTTTATTTGTGTTGTTATAGTTTCCATAACATTTTTTCTTAGATATTCCTCGGAATGTTCAGCGCGGTGCATCAGATTCTCATTTTCTTTTTCAGGAGGTGAGATTCTCTTTCCCCTGAAGAAATGGATAAAAATATTACGAGTAGAAAGTATACGCACGTCCCTTCCTTTGTTTTCCCAACTGTCAACTCCCCCCAAAAATAAAAAAAATTACAATAATATTAATAATAATATAAAAATGTTATCCCTGTCTGTCCTCCCTTCAGTCATAACTTTCTGACCCTTATTTATAACCCAGAAGAGTTATTTGATTCAGAGGATGCAGTTTGGTGTGCTATGTGTTCGTGTCTCTGTAACAAGTTATTTTATCTTCATATTTATAACATTTTTTGATTTACAACTTTGGCATCTATGCTGACTGTGTTGATTTTCCCCCCACCTCCTCCCGTTTTCACATCAATCTGTGTCACGAGTATAATTCATTGATTTTTGTTTTGCATTAAAACACAACAAATTGTGTTTTTTTTTTTGTCTTTTAAGAGGAATTCACAAACGGGAATCATAATGTATGTTTCATTGTTGTTTCATATGATAACCTGTGTTATATTTTTTTCTTTTAATATGAGTGTTCCTGGCTGATGCAGATATCTTTCTCCTTTTAAGTTACTGGACGTTATTGAACTCCTGTTCATATCATCATTAACAAATCTTTTCTTCTCTTTTTTCCCAAGTTGTGTATTTTAACACGTCTCTATTTATAATTATACAGTAAGCTATTGAGTGTTATGCTAATTTTAAATATAATACATATATATACACATCATGTGTACAAACAATGTTTCATATAAAATATTGTAGTTATATATTTTCCCAAACGAATAGCTATTGACACTGGTATTACTGGACAGTTAAATAAACTGATGTTCCATGGAATTCACTCTATTTTTATTTTCACAGGACGGCGGCAAGAAGTTTGTCTCCAAGGGAGGTGATAAGGTGAGTACTCAAGAAGCTCTTGATCTACTCTTGGCTTCAGTATAGGTTTTAAGGTGACTTACTTTAAAGCTCTTGATCAACTCTTGGCTAAAATAGAGGCGATAAGATGAGTCCTTATGAAGATCTTGGTCAACTGGGCTTCAATGGAAGTGTTGAGTTTGTAAAACTTTTTACGAAACTTGGGAAAACTCTTAACTTTTTGTGAGGTCTAAAACTTGAGTCATTATGAATTTCTTGACCTTGGAGATGATAATGAATATCATTATATTGTGTAAAGGTTGCTTCACAAGAGAACTTGAGTTCGAATCCAGTGCAGAGTGAGACTAATAGACACCTTCCCTTTACTTTGTTTACTACAGTACACACACAGACACACAGCAGTAATTGGGAACCTGGAGGTAAAATAAGTGGCGGATCGTGTTCTGGGAATAAGCAATTGGGTAATGCATTAAATTTTATTGTGGGAGAAAAGCTAATGAACCAGCTAACAAAAATAAGCAGAGTTCTCCTACAGTTCTTTAGGGAGTGTAATTAAACTCTTTATTTAGGAGAGATCTTGACATCAAGAGAAATGGTATGATGAATCATCGACAGGTGCTTAGTTTTGTCTGCTTATAACTGATTGGTCCAGGGTTCGATTCATGGCTAGGACGAGACGTTTTGGCACGTTTCCTTACACCTGATGCCGCTGTTCATTTAGCAGTAAATAGATACCTGGGAGCTATCAAAATGTTAGGGATTACACCCTGGGAAAGTCAGCAGTTGACCTAAGGGTATCTCGTTGATCTTAATAGGCTTCGTGTCTCTGGCAGTTGGAAACTGTTTTCTTTCTGACATCTTATCAGTTAAATTTTCTGCTGGATAATGTGATATATATATATATATATATATATATATATATATATATATATATATATATATATATATATATATATATATATATATATATATATATATATATATATAATATCACCTTATCCGGCAGTGTAATGGTGACCAAATCCAGCATAACCACATACCACACACCTGCAACAAATTTAACCGACCCTTCATTGCATGTACACAAGAACGTCTATTTACTGTGCATAATCTCCCGCAGCTCTCCAACATCCAAGCGGCCAAGGGCGAACTGGGCAAGACCCGGGAGCAGCTGGCCGAGGAGAAGAAGATCGCTCTCTCCATACGCGTCAAGCCTCTCAACGTCGACGGCATCGGGGCCTCCAGCCTCCGCAGCAAGGCAGAGGAGATGTGGAACCTCATCATCAAACTGGAGACTGAGAAATACGACATGGAAGAGAGGATGAAGCGCCAGGACTATGACGTGAGTCTCCTCTTGTTTTTATTCCAAATTTTTTTTACGTTCACTGGTTAATTTGCATATATATATATATATATATATATATATATATATATATATATATATATATATATATATATATATATATATATATATATATATATATATATATATATATATATATATATATATATATTTATAATATATATAATTTCTATCACTACTTAATACTCTGAGTATAATACAGAATAGTTTGTAAGTTTATATTATAAACTATTAGAGTTTATAATTTTATAAACTAATAGAGTTTATCTCTCCATACTGTCAAACTTCATAGATTTTTTTTTAATATTGTGAAATGAACATAGAGCATGTTTTTATTCCACAAATATGCTCTATGAATGTAATTAAACATACAGTACTTATTTTACAAATAATGACGAAAACTAAATGTTTACTATATTTTTTTATGGTAAACATTGTTATCAACTTTACATTTTGAAGCAGAAGTTTGTGTTTTACTAAAACATAGTTTTTACAAAAAAAATTGCTTGGGAGAGAGATGACATGGTCCTCAAATATTTTTAACTTTTTGTTTCATATTGTTTAATTTTTAATTAAACTAATAACATTAAGAATATTCATTACATCGATATATTTTATCCAAGTTAGTGAAGTATAATCAGCCAAATGTTGCCAGTGAACACAAACTTTTAATTTTGTATAATTTTTTTTATCGTTTGACCGTTTGGAGATGGAGTATTTTGACTGTCCATTATTCATACATTCAGTTTCAGAGTAACGTATCGTTTATCTCTTATTCCTTGTATAATTATTTTTGCTATTATTTTTAACCCTGATTTTTAACTCCCAATTTCCAAGCACAGGAATGTCATTATTTAATACTGCATGATTTGTCTCCTTATTTAAAAAGTGAATATTTTCTTTTGTATTTATTATGTTTTTTTATGGTTGGTGCATGTTAATTAACGCTGATGGGGCAAAATACATATTTGAAGTTCTACTTCATCCTCTTTCGAATGATTGACAAGGAAGCCCAGCCGTAGAAGCGAGAGAACAATTAAAATCTTTCTCAAAACCCTCACTCCACCTAAAAATAAAAATAAACACACTTTCTACTAGCAGCCCTCTTTTCACATAGGAGGAATTCATAAATGTGAAGCTGGCTATTTTATGCTGTTTTTTTTTATAAAATCTCAACATTTTCTTTTCATCCTAAAATTTTAACTATTCGCGAGTCCCTAAAAAAACGTTAGAATTACATCGATAATAAATATTTATATATATTTTTCTTTGGTATTTTGACCTTCAAATTGTTCTTGTAAATTACTCAACCATTCAAGAACAACCCGTATCTGATTTTAGTTCACTCATTTTATCCCCCAGAACCTCTGTTAATTTCTAATTATCACGAAAACTAGTATGTTGACACATCCAATCACTTGGCCCAAGCTACGATATTAATTTGTTTTTTGCACTAATGCCAAGTTCTTAGTGGCGGTCTCATGCAAGTTACAGAGCGAAGCACTGCATTAACAACCTCTGGCTTGATATATTACAGCTCAAGGAACTAAGAGAACGACAGAAACAACAGCTCAGGCAAAAAGCCTTAAAGAAAGGACTTGATCCCGAGTAAGTTTTGCCAATCTGTGTTTGTCATATCATCTACATGTACACACACACACACACACACACACGCACACACACACACACACACACACGCACGCACACACACACACACACACACACACACACACACACACACACACACACACACACACACACACACACACACACACACACACACACACACACACACATCCCCTTACAGAAGAGTAAGAGGAGACATGATAATCACCATCAAAATTCTCAGGGGAATTGACAGGGTGGACAAAGACGAACTTCTTTAGCACGGGTGGAACACGGACAAGGGGGACACAGGTGGAAACTTAGTTCCCGAATGAGCCACAGAGACATTAAAAAGAAGTTTTTCAGTGTCAGAGTAGTTAACAAATGGAATGCATTAAGCAGTGATGTGGTGGAGGCAGATTCCATACACAGTTTCAAATGTAGATTTGATAGTGCCCAATAGGCTCAGGAATCTGTACACCAGTTGATTGACGGTTGAGAGGCGGCACACACACACACACACACACACACACGCACGCGCGTACACACACACACATCCACACGTTAAGTTATAACAAGTGAGAAGGAGGTTGAGGCCAAAACCTTTAGTAGTTTCAAAGCCTTATACGACAAAGAGTACTGGAAAGACGGGAAAACACGAGCGTAGCTCACATCTTGTAAATACTCTTAGGTAATCACACACACACACACACACACACACACACACACACACACACACATACACACACATACTTCCTTATTTGTATACCTTCCCATTCTGATTACCCGCTACAGAATTTCAATTTAAAGTTGATTTCATCCCTCTGAATTCAACTCGTCAATTGTTTAACTTTCCCTATTTAGAAACCAGTCCAGTTTAAGGGTTCTTAAGAAGAGAACTCCTAACAGGCTGGCGGGAGGTCTGGATGGAAGGATTTGACAGGAAGGAGAATGCAATTTTATTATTTTCGCTTTCAAATGCTTATTTTGGAATGTTATATTTTGCGCAGCATCAGTGATGTTTTAATTTATCAGTTCAACTAAAATTCGTCACATGAAGAGTGCAATTTGCATATATTAGGTTAACTGCGATTAACCTTTATCATGTCAACGGAGATTAACATTTATCAAGTTATAAGTGCGATTAGCATTTATTAAGTTATAAAGGCGATTAGTATTTATCAGATCAACTGCGTTTAACATTTATCTGGTTAAAAGTGCTATTAACATTTATCTGGTCAGAAGTTCGATTAGCTTTTATCACGTTAAGTGCGATAACTTTTTTATTTAACAAGTTGGACTAACAGGCGCCGTTTACAACATGTGTGTGTTAATTTATATTTGTTTTCATTCTGTAACAACACTGTTTTACTTACCACGAATTGACTTAATTTCTTTAAGATTTAATTTTTGTTTCCGCCTTTTTCCTACTTCGTTATGTGAGCCGCTCCTATCTTGCAGTCCCACACGCTAATCAGTGCTTGTTTAATAACTTACATATCCATGTGTTCGATTTCTCAGATGAACTTAACAAGCCCCACTTTCAGTTTCTCCATTATCCTGCACGAAACTAGGATACACATCCCTACAGGAGTTGCTCAGATTGGTCTTAGAACGTGAACAGGTTCTTATACATTTGTATTGTGCTATGATTTTTGCAGTTGAAGGAGTTGAAAGAACGTCAAAAGCAACAGCTCAGGCAAAAGGCCTTGAAGAAGGGCCTTGACGCGGAGTAAGTTATGTTTAATTCGACTTATCTCTTGATTTTTCTCGCTTTCAACACCCGTTTATTTACTATGTTTTGTTTCTCATACAATTTTATCACCTCTGCATGGGACTACTTCAAACCAAACCTCTCCATTGTTTCTTATGGCCAAAGTTCCAAGATTCCTGCAACACGTGTGCTCTCCTTCCAAGATCTCAAGATATTGTGACAATTTTATTATTATTATTATTATTATTATTATTATTATTATTATTATTATTATTATTATTATTATTATAGTTATTATAGTTATATTTTTATTATTATTTGTACTAGTTTTGCAACAGCCTCAAGCTTAAGTAGCAAAACTTTGCAATCATGAGACACAGTTTTATCAATTAGTTAAATTATCTCCCTACGTCCATGCAAAATGCTGTATAATCTCATGATTCAAAAACCATGAGGCTTTTGTTAAACGCTTGACAATGCATGAGCCTAGTCACACTCAGCTTTCCTCGACTCTCTGAGTTTTTAAGATATCCTGAGGTCTTGTTGACTGTTCCGGAGATCCTGGAGTTACCGCGGGAGAATCTTGAATACTTTATTGACAAGAGGAACCACTTCCGCTTCGACGTGGATATTGTTCTTGCAGTGCAGACTATCCTGAGAGCTAACTTATCCGGGTGACGTCTCTAACTCTTCCCTTCCCCACCCCCCCCGGATAGTGTTCTTAACCACCACCATTCTTTGTTACTTTAGTTGTAGACTCTAACTTACGACGGCCCGAGAAGATAATTCAGGAGCAGTTATGGTGTACATCACCAGAAATCTTTTTCTGTCTCTCTTTCTCTTACCTTCGTTGGCGACCTATTTCACTCTCTTAAAAAAATACATTTATTTCTCTATGACTAAAAAAAACAAACTATGAGCGATTGCTCATTGGTTGATCCGTCCTACAAAGAACCGTTTCTGAAATGTCAAATGTCCCGCATTTTTACAGTTGAAGGAGTTGAAAGAACGTCAGAAGCAGCAACTGAGACATAAGGCACAAAAGCGCGGGTTGGACCCGGAGTAAGTCTAGAGAGAGCCTGGTTGCCACCAGCCACCTCCCCCCTCCGCTCACTACATCACGGCCTCTTTCTCCTAGTTCTTATAGCTTGGTTTTTTCTATTAGTTTTTTGTAATTTATAGTATTTTTGCTTAAATAATGTTTTTCTGTCTCTCTTTCTTTCACAGACACACAGACACACACACACACACACACACACACACACACACACACACACACACACACACACACACACACACACACACACACACACACACACACACACACACACACACATATATATATATATATATATATATATATATATATATATATATATATATATATATATATATATATATATTTATATATATATGAAAGAATCCTTTTGGGGTAATGAGGTGACTTGAACCGGCGTCCTGGTGATTTCTAAACACCTGCCTTAACCCAGTCAGCCACGATAGTACAAAAAGCCTATTAACCGAGAACTCTACTAAATTTATTAGGAGGTCTGGGCCCAGATTCACAAAGCACTTACGCAAGTACTTACGAACGTGTACATCTTTCCTCAAACTTTGACAGCTTTGGTTACATTTATTAGACAGTTTACAAGCATGGAAACTTCCCAATCAACTGTTGTTATTGTTATAAACAGCTTCCTGGTGTTTCGGAGCTCATAAATGTTAAATAATTGTAAGCAAAGCCGCCAAAGATTGAGAAAAGATGTACAGGTTCGTAAGTGTTTGCGTAACTGCTTCGTGAATCTGGCCCCTGAGGCCAGAATCGGTGCCTAACAAGGATTTTACGACAGGCATGATTACACTGTGGTCTGTGTGTAAGGGTTAACACCCTTACACACCTCCTTCAGACCACAAAGAAGTCACAATGGTGAGATATATCAATCAGGAAATATTTTTGTGGGATTGAGGTGTCTTGAACCGGAATTATGTTGATTTCGAGACTTAACCCACTCAGTCCTAAAGTGAATTTCTCATTGATATATTACGCTATTGTGATTTCTTTATGTTCTGAATGAAGGGTATAAGGGTGTGAACACCATTACACGCAGGCCAGAGTGTAATCGGGCCTATCGTAAAATACTGGTTGGGCACCGGTTCGGGCCTCACTCACTGCCCAGTGAAGTCAGTAGAGTTTCGGATTTATAAGTTTTTGTCCTAATGTGGCTTAGGGGGTTAAAGCAGGTGCCAGAAAATTACCTAAATGCCGGTCCAAGTCTCCTCATTGACCCAAAGCGATTTTCACATTGATATAATACGCCACTATGATTTCCTTATGTATATATATATATATATATATATATATATATATATATATATATATATATATATATATATATATAATCTTCCTAGGTGTTATTATTACTACAATCTTAGAATTAGTATTAGTATTATTGTTATGCGCTTTGGTTCATGTAGTATATTTTTGTTACAGTTGCTTTCTTTAAACTGTTGTAAAGAGAAAGTCGAACTGCTATTTTGGCTTCAACGATTTTTCTCAGCCTGGTATTTTCGGCTGTTTTTCGCTTTTCTTCTAATTTGTGATTATTTTGATTAGATATTTTGGGCTCCAAAGCAGTATGTATGTATGTATATATATATATATATATATATATATATATATATATATATATATATATATATATATATATATATATATATATATATATATATATATATATATATATATATAATACATACATACATACATAAACTTTAAAGTCAGAAGAAGGTGATTGGTGGCTTGTGGGCAGGCAGGCGAGTCATGGAGGCTGCATGAAACCCAGGGGAAATGTATTCTGTTCTCCACGCGGGTGTCTGATCCTGTCTGTCACGCTGAAGACAGCCTCTTTTTTTTGCATGGCCTCCTAGCCCGTTGTGGTGTTGCTGCAATTTAAGAATAATTTTGGTATAGTGCTACGTTTCTCTCACTGGCTTGGTTTTTCACTCACTTGCTGGTTGTGCAACAGATCTGAGGAACTTTTACCTCAACACGAAAAGACCTCGACGGCGTTTCATATGTGGACAGAAAACACGGGTGAAATAATTCCACGTGGCTCTTTTTTTGCTATGATAATACTTCCACGCAATACGTTTTCTACCTTATTATTAAAAAACAAAGTTTGTCTGATTTTTAAACGTATAAGATATTAGAAAAAGCAGAGTGAAAAAGATTTCTAGAAGTGAAAGGCAATAGCAGTTTACCAGTTATATGGTCAATGAAATTGTTTAGAATTTGGCAAGGGCGTTCCGACTGCTGACAGAAAAGTCCGTTTTTCGTCATCGTAGCCACTATAATAACTGGGACCAGGCTTCACAAAACATTTACCAACCCATTTACGAAATCTATACATTTTCCTTCAATCACTGCGGCTTTGTTTGCATTTATTAAACAATTTATTAGCTCCGAAACACTATAAGATTATTTGTAACAATAATAACCTAGGGTTGTGACGATTACAAGTTCTTAAACAGTTTAATAAATGTAAACAAAGCCAACGTAATTACAAAACAGGTGTTGCAGGTTTCATAAGTGGCTGTATAACTGCTTGATAGATCCTATCCCTCAACACCTGGGACAGCAGGGATATTCATCTCGAGGTGAATCCCATTTATGAGAGTTTGCTTTAGTCCTGAACAATATTCAGGGCTAAAGCATACTTGCTGGTTGGTCAGTAAGCCATTTTGGTGGCTTAAATAACCCTCCAGAGGTTGATAGCCTTTCAGTCCAACACCTGAAACGAACATGTTGGACATGAGAAAAGATTAATTCACGCGTTGCTTGAATTTTGTGAGCTAACTTATATTCAGATCCAAAATCTATTTTCTTATTTGGCGTAGGAGCAGTACTGCACAGTAAATCTTTAAATACACTGACATAAAGAGACAGTCAGCCGTGCTTGCTAGACTTCCGTTTGCCACCACACACCTGGGTGGGATGACTAAAACAAGAATACAATAACGGGATATATATGGTTCCTGCAAATTTTAGGATTGACTAATAATGTTATCAACTAATTTAGAAAGAGTTATGGTAAAGCCTGCAAAGGTGCAACACCCATTATTATTATTATAATTATTATTTTATATTATTTCATTATAAAAGCACAAATAATCTGCACAAACAAAGGATATTTGCCACATAATCGATTGTTTTAATCATTCTGCCCATGGTGTCCCCGACTCTGGGAATCTCAAATGTAGTTCATTTGTGCATATTTTAATTTGTTATCAAAGAAATCTGAATATAAATATACGCCGACGATCAAGCAGGTCCCATCATTTGCTTTATGGAATGAAAAGAATGGGGATGACCAAACGTTTATACTTCTACGGTGTTTAGTCACTGAAAACTGACATTCTTCACTGCTGTCAACAAGCCACTTATGTTTTTCCTAAAGAATATGAATTTTTGAGCCCAGAATATAAGTTTGAGCATCTAAGCTGACGCTCGCTTACCGCAGTGACAAACTCACATGTCGTGTTAAACACAGCATTAAGAACTAATTTTAACACCACAAGTAAATAAAATGTTAACTCGAATACCCAGTAATTTACAAATCAGAGCTCTTCAGCCTGTCTGGATCTCGCTGACAAGAACTTTCCGAGACATTTGCATTGCTTCTGTTGCTGTTTGTTGTTGCTTATAACCGCTGCTGCTGCTGCCTGAGGTTATAGTTGCAGCAGATGTAGCTGCTTGAAGCCAATAAAAAGTTTGTGGCTGCTTCTGCTTCGTGTTGCTGCTGCGGTCGTTCATGGCTGCATGCAACTACTCCTATTGATTAAGGTTGCTGTAGCAACATGTGTTTACTTATACTGATTGAAGTTTACGCAACTGAAAGCTGTTGTCGTTATCGTGACTGCTACAGCTGTTGCTGTTTTCGTGACTGCTACAGCTGTTGCTGTTTTCGTGACTGCTACAGCTGTTGCTGCTATCGTGACTGCTACAGCTGTTGCTATTTTCGTGACTGCTACAGCTGTTGCTATTTTCGTGACTGCTACAGCTGAAGGCGATTGCTGTTTTCGTAATTGCTACAACTGAAAGAGGTTGCTGTTATCGTGACTGCTACAGCTGCTCGGGGCTTCTTCTACTGATAATGTCTGCTTCAGCTGCTCGTGGATACTGCTACTGATATTGGCTGCTGTAGGTGTTGTTGGCTGATGCAGCTGTTGTTATTCTGTGCGGCTCAGCTGAAGTTTCGTGTTCTATTATAGCGTGGATTTCGTGTACCCTGAGGTCTGTGCAGTGTTCTTGTGACTGACTTCTGCTTATCACTGACATCTTGAGTTTATTCAGGACTTCCGCGTTTATTATACTTGACTGAATTTACTTAAAAAGTCTTCTTGATTCACTGTTGATAATTAAACTACCTTTTTGTGTGTTTGTAGTTACTTAAAATATCTTGTTTGCCTGTATTTACTTAAAACACACCTGTTTGACTGTTGTTTCTTAAAATACTTTCTTGATTGACTGTCGTGTTTTTCCTTCAACGCCTCTTGCCTTTCACTGCTTTACTTTCCAAACTCTCTCTTTAACTTTCTAGTGCTGACACGTACTGTCAGGTTACTGTTATTGTCCTGTGATATTGATGTTTTCCTCTACCGTTCACTTTCTCAAAGTACTGCTCTAACACTGTTTTTAAATCCTATTTTGTCCTAAAATGTGTTCACTCTCCTTATTTCTGTTAATACTCGGAACGTTTTGCGAGTATACTGATGCTCTTTTTTGAATTGAATCAAAATCGTAAAACACTTAGAAGATTTTATAACAAAAAAGCCAAAGAGTATTTTTCAAAACTGTATTAAAATATACAACGCGATTAAAACCCGATAAATCATAAACAAAGTTAAGGAATTAAAGTACGTTACAGAAAGTTATTGTTGTACTACTGATTATGTGGATGAATGTGACGGGCGCTCAAGTGAGTTCATGTAGTTGATGCTGAAGTGATTGTATGTGATGGGTGCTCAGTTGGGTGTATGTGGTGCATGGAATATGAGAAAAATCAATGATGACAGAAAGTTAGAGACAGTACCCCAGAGAGATATAAGGAACAGGGGCATAATTAAGTGTGCAAAGATTAAAAGGACAGAGCTGAAGGAGCAAGAAAACAGAGGATTCCGATTGAAATGAAAAGGACAGGAACAAAAAGGGGGTTAAGAGGAGGGGATTAAGAACAGAGTGAGAGAAGGAAAGGAGTGAAAAGGGCAAAAAGAAAGGGTCTTTTATGTAAAACTTTCATAATACAGAATGAAGACTTAAGCAATAGTGAGAAGGGATATATGTCTTAATAATAGGTTAGTGAGCTATATTAGAGAGGTGTCATAGAGTTACAGAAGCTTAATAGTAAATATGAAATTGCTCGTCCTGATAACCATGAAATGGTTCAGTAAGCTACGTCGCCCTTGATTCACATCCAGGCATCCCGGATTCCCGGGACGGACAGGAAATGATTGGGTAGGTGTCCTTTTACTTGATGCCTCTGTTCACCTAGCAGTAAATAGGTACCCTAGGAGTTAGGCAACTGTTGTGACTTGCATCCAGGGATCTATAGAGGAAACTCGATTACCCTAAGTAAAGGCTTCCTGCCCCCCAACAACTGGGAATTACGTATAAATGCAATATATCAACAATAGATACTCTAGGAAATGTATATATATTCAAAGTAACTATACATGGTGAACATGTGATATGGATTATTGGGTCAGTTACACAATTTCGAACATATATATCTTGTATATTATATGCATCATGTGTTTCTGTTGAAAATATGTTCAGTATTTTACATAATTCTTAACCTCATTAGTCGGGTAGACATTATTATAGCACCCCCGTTCTCTTGATTTGCCACTATGTAAGAAATCCAACCTCCTAACCAAACTAAACACGTAGGAAGGCCAGCAACCCACCTACCTTATCGAGTCCGAATGCTTACAAAATATAATTGTGAGGCGTTACGTTTCATAGGTTACATTTGTAACGTTGGTTACAATAAAATAAACGAGGCGACATAGTCGTTGAGAGAGTGGGTCGGTTATGGAGGTTATTCTGTATCCTTATCACACGACACTTACGACTGGTTAAAAAAGTACCTTTTAATACAATTTCGAAATGTAGACAAATGGAATTCGGTTTTCCTAGATACGCTTATAATATGTATTTGTATAAAAGATCCGGAAATCTATATTTACAGTAAAAAAATAATAAACTGAAAAAAATGTATAGCTAGTTTATTATAATTTATGTGTCAGTTTTTCTTTGAACGTAATGTACAGTAATAAAAATACAGTAAAACCCAACGCACTCAACAACATACAAGGCAAGACGGTAAAAAGCCACGATAACCTTTTTTCGAGGTGTAATTGGCCACTTCGGCAAAATAAAAAAATGACAAAGCATAGGTGCTCTTAGATGTAAACTTTTTTACTGCAGATATTTTAGTAGTGTTACACTACATATTGGTTTCTACACCAAACAAATTTGAAAGAATTATCTTAATGGCATTTAATTCCATCAAAATTCACGTATATTTTCGCTTCATTCTGCCCGTTTTCTGTGTTAAGCTATAACGTTTTGTGTGTGCGTATATGTGTGAATAAATATATAAATGTATGGTAAACTGTAATATATTATTATACAATGCAACATAATTTATAATTCCATTAATGCTTTGTTTTATCTCCAACACAGGGCACTCACAGGCAAACACCCGGTAAGTTTAGTTTGTCTAAATGGTTTACTTTTTATATTGATTGTTGTGTATCATTGTCTTACTGTGGATATTAATAAGCATGAATTCATTACTGGCTATTGTAAATTAATTTCTTGTTCCAATAAATTGTTTACATGCTGCTATAAATGATCTTACATGCTGTCATAAATTCTGCTAGAGAGTGTTACAGGGATATTCCTACAGGAATAGGAGCCCTTGTTACATTAATACAGGGATATTAATGTAACATATAGGTTGGCTCACTATGTGTTACAAGTATTTGTGTCACTGAGGTGGTGTATGAGCATGACAGACAATTAATTTACAGCATCGGATATTGAATTCATGATTTTGTAATATTATTCACCTCTAAAAACCTAACACTTAACTATTCATATCACAAGTAACTTAAAAGATGCTCATATGTAAATACTTTAAATTTCTCGCTAAGACATTAAGGTTTTGAACAAATTCCCAAGGGCCGTGATGAGGTGTTCGAACATACGGTGCTTCTGGGAACATCCCGTGCGTAGGTTCGAAACCTCATCACGGCTCTTGTTGATTTTTTCATTTGATATAGCATGCTATTGTGATTTCTGTGTGTACCTTAAGGTTTTCCTTTCGGGAAGGTACTTAAAGATATAATTATTGCGTGTCCACAGCCCAAGATCCAGACAGCCTCCAAATTCGAGAGACGTACGGACAGGAGGACATACGACGATAAGAAGCAACTGTTTGAGGGCGTAAGTAATAGCTTCATGCCAACATTTCCTCAAACAAATAAGTTGCAGTATAGGAACTCTAATTAAGCGTTTCATCAGAACAGTCTCAGACAGCCCGGTGTAAAAGCATTACCGGAATAGTCTTAAATATTACTTTGTAAAGTCATAACCATGAAAGACTTAGATATTCCTTTGAAAATTTCTTATCATTAAAGTCTTAGCCATTCCACTGTAAAACCATTATCAGGAAAGTTTTATATATTCAATAGTAAAGGTATTAGTCGGAAAGACTTAAACAGTTCTTTGTAAAGTCATTTCCAGAGAGTGACTTTCTCTTTCATTAATTCAGCTAGTAACTGGAATTCTAACTCTACATATCATTCATACTTTTAATCATATCCATAAATAGAGTTTATTTTGTAAGTATATTTGCTAAATATTTAACAGATTTTCCAATTTTTTATTGCCTTTATTTTAATTGATGATAAGTTTAGTAAAGTAATAAGATCTTTCATTATTCTTTATTATTCACATACATTTATTAAAAGAATTGTTTTGTCAAAACCCAAATATTTTTAAATCTTCCATGTAATTATTTGTTAGTTTTTTCATTATTTTTGTTGATCTATTAATTTTTTTTTTAAAACAAATTTTTTTTAACTATTTTTTTAGTGTACTGCTTTGCCATATAATTGATTTTAATATAGAGAATGAATGATGGTATAGTCAGGCAAATGTCAGCCGCTTTTTACTTAGCAACAACGCCTTAACTTCTTTATTTCAGAAAAAAAACTAATTTTGTATTTTGATGCCTAACTTCTGAGTCTCATACTTCCATCCTTTTTGCCTAACTTCTGTATTAAGCTCTGTAACGTAATTGTCATCATCTGTACCAGCTTTCTGGTTCAGGCCTCTTTCTTCGCTAAGTCTGGTTACGTTAGGCTAGACTAGGTTAGGTTAGGCTAGGTTAGGGAAGGTTAGCACATCATAATTTAGTAATTTTACTGTCAAATGCTCATTAGTTTGTTTTCCCTTTAACTTTCAAAATTAAATACAATGGTACTAATATCTACAAAATTTGTATTTTTCTGTAAAGAAAAAGCTAAATCAGAGTTACGTAGAAAACTAAGACAGTTCTTATCTGGCGTATCAGTTTGATGGTTAGGTGCCCAAGTAGCGTTATTTGGCTCCCGTCATATTCAGGCAGCTTCCCATGGATATTTTGCCTTGCACACAGGGATGGGATATTGTTATCAAGGAGGATCTGGAGAAGATATGGAAAGAGAAATATGAAGACTTTATGTCAAGGACAAAGTGTGAGTAGAGGGTGTTGGTAATAACGCTTGATGCCCGTGTCCCTGCCCCCCCAAATGGATACCCCCCGTTTTTTTTATATTTCCGGTGTTCTTTTTGACGCTGGTTCGAACCCTAGCAGTTTCCTCAGTGTTGTGGCTCGCTGATAGTTGTCACCTGCAGGTCTTGTAAGTATCACTCCAGTACGCCTCTGTAACCCCTTGTTGACTTGCTCTACCGTTTACCGTCAGGGTTGGGATGTTGTACACAAAGAGGTTCTTCAAAAACTTTGGGAGAGCAAGTACGAGGAGTTTATGGGCAGGCATAAGTGTAAGTACGTCTTGCTGGATTTGTGGTTGCCTCTGGGTGGTTCCCCTAAAGACAAAATTCCGAGTGGAGCGACCAAATAGCCCCTCAAGAGCCGTTCTCGCTCCACTGATCTATAATTTCAACAACAAACCACCCCCTTTCCCACTCTATCCCCTCCCCCCTTAATATGACTTCCAAAACACTTGTACCCCCCAGGGCTGGGATGTTGTACACAACGAGGAGCTGGAGAGGTATTGGAAGGAAAAGTACGAGGAGTTTGTCAACAGGTCCAAGTGTAAGTAGGTCCCACTCTCAGACACTGTGTTCGACGTAGCAGTATTGGCCTGAAATGGCATCTCTTGCTGGTAGAGTTTTCATAGTAGAACATTCGGTCCCCCTCAGCACCGGAGACTTAATACGCGTTTGATCTCATCCACGGCTCTTGCCCCTTACCTCTAGACGACGGTGGGAGTCTTGAAGCGATTGCATTATTATTTCAAAGGCACGGGTACCGTTTAGAGGTACGGGATCGAACCAGTGAGAAGCCAACATCCGCGTTTTTCGTTGTTTGGTGATTACTCCTAGGAGATAGAGAGAAAGAGATAGAGAGAGAGAGAGAGAAAGCAAGATGCCATGGTCCTTTGTTATTTTAGATCACCTTGGTATCGGTATTTCCCCACCACTGGTGCGATAGAATGCAAGAACGTTAATCTTCCCTCTCTCAGTTACTACCGTAGTATTCCTCGACCCCCCCTCTAAGCTACCACCGTAGTATTTCCCCTTTTAGCTATCATCGTAGTAGTCCCTTTCTCAGCTACCATCGTAGTAGTCCCTTTCTCAGCTACCATCGTAGTAGTCCCTTTCTCAGCTACCATCGTAGTAGTCCCTTTCTCAGCTACCATCGCAGTACACACCATGTGGTACCACACTGATTGCTGGTCCGCCAGCGTCATAATCTACCTGAACCTTTTGGTCTTCGCTAGTATCAGACCGCCTGCTGCCCTCCTCTCACTTTTTTATTTTTATTTTTGTATTTTGTATACATAAGTCCAACTATTTTTGTTATAGTTCCCTTCGCTTCAATGAATACCCCTTTTGAGTTGCTAAAACAAAATAAGATTCCACATTTCAAACTAATTTATTGTATTTTAATACTTTTTTAATATTTTTAGTAACGTATTTCAGCGTTACTTTATACAAATTCCGATTTCTATAATATTTTTAAACCAATCTTTAGTTCCGTTTTGTACTGTAATCCTAGCAAAACCTCTGAATAATACACCATTGACCTCGCCTTGTGTTCGCAAAAACCTGTTTAAAACATCTCGCCCATTTTAGGAATGTAGGCGACCCAGGAAGTGGTGTGTGGTATCCCCTTTTATTCCAAACAACCTTCATCTTCCATCATATTTGAACATGTTTTTTGTTTACAGTGTGTGTTGTCTGAATTGTGCACTAAATATCCCCCATTTTGTTTGCCATATCCCCAGGGTATTGTTGAAACGACAAAGGAAGAGCATGAGAGGAAATGGGCTGAGCTTAGAGCTCAGTTTGATGCCCGCGCGAAGGGTAAGAACCGGATACGGTCCCTTCAACCAATATCGTGTCCTCATTAATTATACACACACATATTTACATATATATTTAGTTTTTGCCTTTAATTTTATGCTAAAGTTTTCGACACTATAATTAATTACATTTTGTCAAATAATCACTGCTGCTTATTTGTATAATTATCTCTGCTACTTTTCTCAGCTCCTGTGGAAGAACTCCAAGACATATCTTGTGTTACAGGAGCCAGCAAATCAGACTTATAACTAAATAAACCAGTGTGTGTAACATGGCGCTCCATTGTTTGTCACGAAACATATTTTTTTTCAGTTAATTTCTTATTTCTTTTTCGTTTCTGCGCGTTGCTAATCGTACGTTTTGTAAGGCATGTCAAAGAAGCCTGCTGGGCCTCCCGCTCTTGCCAAGGAAAATTATGATTTGCTTTAGCGTTGTTGTTAGGCATGTCAAAGAGGCCAATTCGACCTCCCACTCTTGCCAAGGAAATTTATGATTTGCTTTCCTCTCTACGCTCTCGGCATGCTTTGTAACTCCATGTAGATAAAATTCTGTACTTCAGGAGGTTGGGTTCCTGAAATTAAATCAAAGGTTTGTAAGTGAATATCTTAAGGTGTGTGTGTGTGTGTGTGTGTGTGTTGATGCTTACTTAACGTTTTTCTGACTGTTTTTCATTCCATAAGCTTTTTACTTTTACATGATATGTTTTTATAATCAAATCAGTGCATGATATAAAAATAGCTATATATATATATATATATATATATATATATATATATATATATATATATATATATATATATATATATATATATATATATATATATATATATATATATATATATATATATATATATATATATATATATATATATATATATATATATATATATATATATATATTCTTTCAAGGTTAACACAATTTTTGTAGTGTATTACACTCTGTGCTTGTCACAGAGAAACAATCTTTTACCTTCTTTTCTAATTATTCTCAACTTTCTCTCTGGTAATAAACGAGGTCAGTAAAGTACTGTTTACTCCATTCACTAGCTGCTCTGGGATTTTCAACGAACAAGCAACGGGGCTTCTGCTTCTGTTTTTATTAGATTTCTAGTTTATTGTAAAAAGATAAAACGCCCTGTTCAGATATAGAAGCATATGTATGTAGCATATGTGCGTGCACATATATACATACATGTGCACGCACACAAACACACACACACACAACACAACAGGACGTTCGTAAAAGTCTTAAGGCAGCTAGCAATTTATATAAATAAAAAATATGAAATTGATTTGTTAAGAACTTACTAAAAATCCCTTGCCTTCCAAAGATGTCATTCTGTAATATAATTTTCTTTTGCAAATCAACGAGATATAACATTAAGATCATAATCATTTTGACGTACAGGGAAAAAAAACTGTGTTTTTTCAACTTACTGCACTGTCGATAGTTCAGAACTTAGAAAAGTTTGACATGTACCTACCAAATTTTAACTAAGACAAAATATTTGTGAAAGTAAGTTTATATACCAATAGGTAACTTACAAGAAACATTAACTACAAACTTATGGCTCGATGGACTGCCTTATGCCTTATGCAATTGTCCGCTTCCATATTAAATATTTACAAGGAAATATTTGCTGATAAATCACTTTTCAAACAAGTAAACATCAGTCAATCAGCCTTTTTAAAATTGTGAGTGTAGTCTCAAAATGATTTGATTATAATAATGATATATATTTATTTTTGTTTACTTCTTTTCCAAATTCTTGAAACACTGCAAAAGACCTATATCGTTAATAATAAAGATCAATTTAGTATCAATGGAATTGCAATGGCATTTCTTAAATAATTTTATTATTTGAAGTATTTAAATATATCTTATGAATTTCCTTAATTTCAAAAACAAAATCATGAATATTAAATATGCAGGAAGTTTACAAGGGTTCTATTGGACATCTTTATTAATCAATGATCCTTCTATAATTTTATTCAGATATAATAAAAAGCCTAATAAAGACGCAACATTACTTAAAATGTTTTGTAATATATCATAACTGATATAAAAATATATATGCCATAGTTAATTATATATAATAAATCGAAAAATCGAAAAAATTATTAGTGATGCCAGCATCTGAATACACATCTTTATTAATTAAGCTTCTGCAGATTTGTCAACTCTCATAAGTTCTTAATCAAGGTTGATGATGGCTTAAGACTTCCACTGAAATGTGTCTCAATATAAATGTATATTTAAGCCAATGTTCAACTATATCTATAAAATTGTCTTAAAAAGTTGAGTGATAATTTTAATTGCTAAATATAAAAAAGTTATTGAAATTTTCAACATACTTTAACTTCGAAGGCATTTTAGGATTTTTCAAGTGACTTTGTGACGGCTTTTTATTGAGTTGAATTTGTCAGTAGAGGAGTAATTTTGTTTTATTTATTTAATGATTAATTTAATATTTTATTAGCACTGACTCTTTACTTGTTTACTGATTTTACTCATGAAGTACTTTTAAATTAAAATTTATATAATAACATTTATTTCAAAATTTCACTTGGTTTATAATCTAATGTTTAAGGGAGCCTCAAGCTTAAGCTTAATCCAGTTCGTTAATCCTTGTTCGTTTATTGCTTTTGTAAATACTCAACTGTAAGCAGCATAGGGATTAATTACTGATTCCAAGCTTACTAGGTCACACTTTAGATAAAAGAGTGTGACATACACATACATACAATAGACAAGTAACCGTAAATTAATGTTTAGTTAACCATATTTTCTTTTCTGGTAACACTTCTGAGATTTGGATTGATGTTGAGATTTAAACTTTTCAATGTTTGGAGGGTTAAGGCCGTGACAGCCTGTGGGCCAACTAGCTAGTATATCTTAGTTCTGAACACAGTGCAGGACCGAAGTATACTACCAGTGTCTATACATCAAAAAGCGAGGTATACCTCGCATTGTATTCATCCTGCAAAGTCAATCACGCTGTTGTTCGAGTAGGGTTTCATTAGTAGAACGGTTCATTGTGATATCTAGGGTGGTTTACAACAAATGCCTAATGGTATTGGATGTCCCTGGTAGCCAAGCTTCCCAAGTGGTTCGGTGAGCGACCTGGCAAGAAAGCTGGAGAGCCTGAAACCCCAATTGACGGCGAAGAGGAGGAAGAGCTATTGGAACCCCCTCCACCTCCCGAGCCTGAAGAGGAAGAAGAGGAGGAAGAAGAGGAGGAGGAGGAGGAGGAAGAGGAGGAAGAAGAGGAGGAGGAGTGAGGAGTAAGTTCATCGATGCATTTTTGGATTCACGTCGATTTCAAGACAAAAAAATATATATGTTGTATTGTGGAATAATAAATATTTCAAAATTGTCATTTAATATTTTATCCTATATAAAGTCTATTATATTTTTAAGTATATACATTGGTATGATGGACATCTTCTATGTATCTTAATACAAATATGAAATGGAGAGAGAGAGAGAGAGAGAGAGAGAGAGAGAGAGTGAGAGTCTGCTGAATAATTAATTTTTTTCTGTTGCAGGACCGTCTCATCGCCTTCCTCAGTTCTTCATCCATCCAACTTCTCACATTCTCACACACTGTGTCGCTTAACATCTCTCTCTGAACACTTTAACAAGTTCTCTCTGTTGTATGGAGTCTACTATCAGTTGATTTTAAGTTATCATTATTATTATTATCATTATTATTATTATTATTATATATTATTATATTTATTGCAGTAATTATTGGTTGGCGGTTAGTTTAGCATGTGGTTAGGGCCGCGGACTTCGTAGCCTAAATATCCACGACACACAGCTTTGGACGAAGCTTTAAGCGTGGGTTCCTTGGGGTGACGTAGCTCCCTCGGGGTGACCTGTGGGCGGCGGTCAGGCCTCCCCTCCCCGCCGCCCGAGTACAAAATCATACGTGAGCTCCGTCATCATCACTCTCCCTCACCACCTTTGTCTG